CGATAGGATTTAAATGCCGCTTATAGGATAATTTTTAATTACAGACAAATTTTAAGTTTCTATCGAACGAGAGCCCAAAAGAAATTCTTCTAGTTTTAGTCTTAATTCTATTCACGAGAAGTTTTTCTAATTTCAATATTAATTTTAATTCTATTAAATAAAATGATTCTAATTATTAGATTCTCAAGCGTATATTCTCTGAAAGTATAAGATGTGATGAAGATTTTCCGTATTTAGTCTTCCGCACCTTCGAAAGAACCTTTTTCACCTCGCCCACACTCATTTCGCGTCCCATCGGACATGCGGGAGCACACGGAACTGCGAAATTCCACGCCGCGGAATTTGGAGGAGGTGACTGAGGAGAGACGGGAGGAATGGGAGGGAAGGTCGGAGTGTTGTGTCGGAGCGACGAGCCTCATTCGCGTGCGGGATTAAAATTCGAGTCCCACGGTACACGGTAGTCTTGCGTTTCTCAGGCACGATCGTCCGGGTCCTTTCACGTAAGGACGAGAGAGGCACGTTTAAGCGCTTCGCAGAACCCTTTTTTTTCCAGTCCTCCCCACTTTGCCCCGAAACGTCACGCACGTATGTATGGCGCGGGCATGGCAAAACGGCGATGCGCGGTACCGTCGAATCCTTCGTGAAATAGCGGATCTATGGGAAAAACATGTTCGGCCTTCGAGAGGTCACCTCTCACGAGGATCGAACAGCAGCTGGAAATGATAGACGCGTAAAGTAGAAAATTGTGACTTAAAGACTCTCGGAATTCTAACGCACGCTCTGCCTCTTTTCTTCAATTCCGAGATCTACTCGTGATAATTACATATATAGAAACAATGATTTGTTGAACTATCTAAAAATTCAGCTAGATATAGACTTGAAAATAATTTTGTTGAGAACAATCGAAAATAATTATGTGGAAATCTCAAGCATGATGAGCAATGCAGAAAATTTTGATATTTTAGTAACTATAGTTTGAGCATCCTTTATATCTATTTTGATTCAATTTTTTCCGGATCTGTATCTAACTAAATTTTTAGGTACTTTAGCAAAATTATTCTTTCTGTATATTATGGCAAATCTGAACATACAACTTTGTTGGACCACCTAAATAATTACGTGACAATCTCAAACAATAATAATAAGTAATGCTGCAAAATGTTTTGACATTCTAGCAACCAGTTTGAATATCCTACATAATTATTTTGATAGTCAAACAAAATTATCTTCAGATCTATAAGTACCTAACTAAACTCTTAGATACTGTAGCAAAATCATTCTTTCCGTATGTATAATATAAAGAGCAAAACGAATTCGCAAGCAAGAATTGAGATGTCTGTAATTTCGAATTTATATTTCGTCCGTTGCTATAGATTCACAAGAGGAAAGATCAACTCTTCGCGGAACGAAGACATCTTCCTTTCAGAGAATTTTCAAGTTTGACAGGTAAACAGCTTCTCGCGGACCACAACGAAATTATGATAACGGAATGAAATTGTGGAATCCTGCATCTCGTATGCGTTCAATTAGCACTGCATGCCGGGCAATTTACGTAACTTTCAATAGAGCGAGATACCGTTGCGATGCTAGGATTTTGTCGCCCGACGTGATCGACGAGAGAAAAGAGATGGATAACGCGCGCAAAAGAACAGCGTGGCGAATTCCTGTGCGCAGTATCACAATGTACGTAAAAATGTTTAAATTACGCGAAGAGACGGAGACGAGAGGAGAGAGAGAGAGCGTCATCGTGGAGAGTAATGCGGGAAAAACGTCGTCGCGCACTTGCGGACACGGTGAGAAACGGTGTGACATTACTCGCGCCTCATCAGACGATAATCTATGCGATCTCCTAAGGGAAAATAATACGCGGTATACGCGACGGTCACAGCTGTCGCCGCCACGTGAGGTTTGAATTACCATCAGCGAGAATAAAAATCAGAAAATTACACTTTGTAACGTAGCGGTACGTTACGAGCATTATTCATTGTCTTTCTATCCATATGCTTTCAATTATCTTCGCCTGTGTGTTGTTCCAATACCGTCCACCGTTTGTGTCGCGTGTGAGCATCGTTTAACATTTTTATTAAAAAATAATTTCGCTTATTTCTCATGCATGCGTGTACATTAAATTCGTTTTTTGAAGCGTCTCTCATCTCAAACACGAACGTGATAATGTAGCAAAATATGAATTATTTGTGGATCGAGACACGTTCGTTTCTTTCTATCTAAAATATTAGAATATTCTGTAAATATCTTCTGATTTATTGAGATAGTTATTCGATAACTATTAGATATTGCTACACTGAGAGAAAAGTGTTTGGTATTTGTGACTATAATTACATGGTAAAATGTTTATGGTTAGAAGCTTTTTTTTAAATAGTTATTATGTTATAATGTTAGTAATAATAATTATATATATTTTTTGTGTAAAGCCGTATAACTATAATTATTATTATTGACATCAGACCGATAATAATTATAAAAAGGAGCTCCTAACATAATCATTTTACCATGCAATTATCAGTCATAAATATCAAATAATTTTCTCTCAATACTACTTCATCTTCCCAGATTCTTCGAACAATTTGAACCCATATATTTTCATTTTTATTAAATCAATGAGAATTTCAAAATAAAAAAATTTTTAAATACTTATACGTACAAAACTGTATCGTTTCTCTTTCTTATATAATTTATATACAGATACTGTTTATCTTACAAAAAAAAAAGAGGAGGAATACTTTTACAAACAGCTCCGAGATCGAGGTACCAGTCGAATGCCATGACAGCGCCGAATCGATTCTGTCAGGGAGAACAAAAACTTTGTGGCAGCGCCTATTATATCTGCCGGCGCGATCGCCGGCAATTCGCCTGACATTCTTTATTTTTGCGGTTGGCCCGGGGCGAAAAATAACGACGTCGTTCCCGCGATCGAATTCGGAGTGGCGGCGACCACACCGCCGTGTGACCACCGACGAGTGCGTGTCTCGTTTCCAGTCGTGTGCGTGCGATATATACGGCGGCGCGTGCGCGTGCTTGAAGAAATATACAACGGGACGCGAGCGCGAAAAGCGTCGCGGCGCTGGGCGTCCTGCGTTACGTCGAGCTCCGTCGGAATGTGTAAATATACAAGCGCTGCGAGGCGAGAAGAGCAAGAAAGAGAGACAGAAAGAGAGTGAGACAAACTTGCGCTCTATATACACGGCCATCCTGAATTTATAAGAAGCTGTGACTCCACATGAGCGCGATACGTGACGTTCGTGTGGAACGTCGAAAACGTATCGCCACAGATTTAATGTTCCTTTCGGCAGGATGCGTATCTCAACGAGAGAGGCCGAAACGAAAAGTTTGACCTTTGTCAGTAACACGATCGCGAAGCGAAATTTTGCGACCAGAGAGATAAGAAACATCCGGTTTTATCGAAGAAAACGTTTATCCAGTGGAAACAAAAGAAAGCGAACGAATGAATCAAAGTGACATTTATTGTGAAGAACTTCATATATTTCTATAAGATCACACACGCACACAATATTATTACATATTACATTAAAAATTAAGATATCAAGGAATTAAATGGACCCCTAGACGATGTTCCCTTTAAATTAAACAATTCAAAACAATCTCTGGTGGCTCAATATAGCCTAAATATTGTAATTTTCGATAGATTACCATTTAATCTACCTTTATGAGCATTATTTTTACACTGCCAATACCTTTAATTTACAACGAAAAACAAGTTGATTTCGAGATTGACTAGAATTTGCCACGGGATTATTCATATCGTATGAGATTTTCAGCGCGGAGCATAATGACAAATCGCTAAAACTTGATCCGCAAAAAACGGATCGTTAATAGTAGGTACGCAAGAGAGGAAGACAGATCGAGAGTATGTATACATATCCGCCGGGATGCAAGGTTAAATCCTTAACGCGTTTAAGTGCAATCTCGCTTAGCTAACAGGCGAAGCAGAACTAATTACCCGCTACATTAAGCGTCATCAATCAAACCTTTTTATTTATCAGTCATTTTTTGCGCATTCCATTTCACAAAAGTAACGGAACACGAACGGGACGCGTGACCTTCTGTGGTTGACAATATAGGAAGAGTTTTTTTTTTATCGCGACGTGTAATTACGGTCGAATAAGGATAAACGTTCCCCCCCGTCCACCGTCGGCGGTTGTGCGAATTGATCGACGATATCGCGTGTTCTTTACCGCGTGATTTGCGCATTTACGTAATTTCCCACATAGGCTAAACAGTGTAATCGTGAGTACCGGCGGTTTACGAACGCCGCGAAGAATGTCGTAGGAAACCGCCTCGGAAAAATTCTTTGTCCTTTGTTTTATCACGCTATCGGCCATTTTATTAAATTCTCTGCTTCAGAAGTTAAAGATTTAGATTTTTCGCAATATTTTTTGCAGTATTCTAAAATGTATATTAACGTCATTATTAAATTAAGAGTCAATTTAACTTCATATATTATTATTTCAGCTGCAGTTTGTATGATTGCGTTTCATGTCCGAAAGTAATCGAGGCACGCAGTTTATTTAATTAAAAGATGTGTTTAAACTTACATAGAAATATATTACAGGCACCAAGAGATTCAGCCTCGACCGCATTTAACGCTTCTTATTATTTGTTTTAAAAATTCATTGTAACAACTGATTAGTTTCCTAGTTTCATCTTCTTACAAGCGACATTTATAGAAATCAGTATAATTTGTATAAACACAATGTTCCAAAGAAATAGATTATTGCGTGATTTTTGCGTTTTATTGCACTTGTATATTGACTTATATTTTGACGCGTGAATGGAATGGCTCCTTTGACTTCCAAAAGACAATTCTTCTCGTCTTCTGTTCGCAGGACTCGCAGAACGGCCCGGTGCTGGACCGATGGAGTATCTGCTCGGCTGAGGAGGAACCGCTGGTCCTGCAGCAGTTCCTCAGGTTCGCCGAGACGCGTCCGTTCGTGCAGCAGTTGCTGCTGGCCGCCGGAACGCCGGGTACGGATGCTATGTCACCAAGCAGACGTCCTTCGCCACCGACGATGCCACTAGCACACCTGCCACCCCCGTTGCATATGCTGCACTGTGGCCTACCGCCACCGGGTTCCCGGTTGCCGCATCCGCTGCCACCGCCCCCGCCACCGCTACCGCCGTCGTCGTCTTCGATCTCGCATCCTTCGATGTCGCCAACGGCACAAAAGCACTACTCCTCGTCGGCGAATCCTAGCGGTGTTAGCAGAGCGAACTCGCCTCCGCGTTCCTTAGACTCGCACTTAACGGTGTCGCCGTTGAATCGGCTCCAGAGCATGCAGCCGTTTGACTTTCGAAAGCTGGGTACTCTCGGATTGCCGGCATTTTCGCCGTTGCCACCAGCATCCGCGGAGCAGCTCCTGCAAAATCGAAAGTCTATGAGGAATCCGCACAGTCCCCACAGTCCACCTCATCATTCATCGTCGCAGTTGCAAAGGCCGCATATGCCGGTCGCGCCGGTCTCTTCGTCGGCGTTAAACTTCGGTCATCCACTCTCGGTCGCAGTTTCCTCCGGAGCGCTACCACCGAGCTTTCCAACGCACTTTCCACCACCACCGATGGGTAAATCACCTGGTGGCATCGGTGGGCTCACCGTGCCCGCGGACGTGCACAGCGGTGGTGAGAAGAGCAGTGAGTTTGGCTCGGAGGAGGACGAAGATGATGACGAAAACTCCGACAGCGCGTTGAATCTTAGCAGACGAGACTCCGCTATGTCGAAGCATGTGATTTCCTCCGAGCAACGGCATCTACCGCCGTTATCGCTCCAAGCTACGCCGTTAGGCAGGCCACCCGGTATACCCGGCAGGAAGCCGCACTCTCCGGGTAAGCGACCGGGCAGTCAATGGGGCGCCGCCGCAAACATGCCGCCGAACCTTGGTACACCTTTCATCAATCCCACCACCGGCAAGAAGCGCGTACAATGTAACGTCTGTTTGAAGACCTTTTGCGACAAGGGCGCTCTGAAGATCCACTTCAGCGCGGTACACTTACGCGAGATGCACCAGTGCACTGTCAAGGGTTGCAGCATGATGTTCAGCTCGCGCAGATCGCGAAATCGACACAGCGCGAATCCAAATCCGAAACTGCACTCACCGCATCTACGCCGCAAAATCTCCCCGCATGACGGCCGTTCATCTATGGCTCATGCCTTGGTATTACCACCGCAGGTAGGCCTTCCAGTTCCCGCTACTGGACTGAATCATCTACCTTTCGGCACGTTTCCATTGCTCACGCCACCACCAGATCTCCGTTCGCCAGCGTCGCTGTGTGCGCTGGACTTCAAGCATTTGGATTTGTCATCCACGCAAGCGGGTCAGGGCAGACCGTACGACGAGGCGTTGCAGCAAAGAATGGCGAGCACAGGTCTGTCAACGACCACGGCCTCGACGACGATGCCAGTGCCGATGTCGAGTGTTGCGCCAACCACGATCACGACGACGGCGCGAGGATCGTATTCTGGTGGTGGTGGTGGTGGTGGTGCATCCATTAGCGCAGTCTCGCCGTCTACCCAAGCATCATCTATGATACCAGAGGGCGAGGAGGACGATGACGATGATGATGGTGGTATCGTCGTAGTCGCGGAGGACGAAACCAGTAATCTGCCATCGAGGTTACAACCGTTACGTGCCGAAGATGACGAGCAACCGGCTGATTTCAGTCTAGCGAAACGGCCGAAGCTCTACTTTGGCGACACCGCCGACGAAGACCTTGCCAGTAATCCCGACAGCAACGAGGATAACGATTCGATGGGCACAGTTGACCAGCAACCTTTCTCCGTGAATCAGCATTCGCTCAACTCGAGTTCCTTTCACAACCGAGGCGTACGCAAAAGAAAATCTCAGCATCCTACGAGATGTGCTGTGCCGGCGGAAGTGCATTCCTCGTCTACCGATGGCGACTCCTCTAATGACGAAGAGCAGCGAATTCAACGACGGTGTCTGTCGGATGGTATTGCACCAATAGCAGAATTTCAGAATCAGCCAGAAGACATGTCGATGTCCAGGCTTGAGGCGGAGGAGCGAAAGATACTCCCCAGCTCGCCGAGGAACCAAAAAAGCTTTCATGATCGCGAATCAAACTCGCGCTCTCCGGACACCGGCAATAGAGAGCGCGAGACAGCGACTAATCGACGCGATACTTTTTCCTCTCAAGACAACGCGGAGGATCTACCTCAAGATGAGCCGCGTGACTTGAGCTCAAGGGCGAGCTCAGTCAAGTCACCAAAACGACAGATCACCCCAGAACCAAAGACCGACAACGCGCCACCGTCAAACACGACATCGAGCGGGGCGACGATAACGACAACGATGACGACGACGACGACAACGACGACGACGACGACGACGACGATAACGAAGGATTCCGACGCGATATTGTCGGAACAGAAAGATCGACGATTGAGCACGGAAAGCGACGAAACGTCAAGGGTGAAAGAGGAGACTATTGCGAAAAAAGAATCTGCCGAGCCGACGCAGGAGGAAGGAAGGCCGACGAACAACGAGGAGCAGCAGGAGGACGAGGAGGACGACGATGATGAGCCCATGGAGGAGGTCGAGGAGGAGGATGATGAGGAGGAGGAGATGGACGACGCGCTGCGCAATCAAGAAGGTGAGCGTCCCGATGATCCCCCCCGTGCCCCGAGCTCGGTCGACAGCCGTCCAACGACAGCCGACGACCTCTCCCACGACTCCTCGACCAACACTTTGCGTCAACTCGAGTCCTTGTCGCAGGGTCGATGCGCGATGCCGTACGCCGAGACGCAGCGGGAGGCTTTGAGGTCTGGCCGCGGCTCTACCAGCCCTATCAGCCTCACGACCCACCAGGAGATCATCATGGACAACTCCTCACATGGCTCTCGTTCATCCAGCGCCTCACCCTCCACAGTGGCCATGGATACGGACAATAGCCTGATCACGTACGCACGTTACGAGAACGGCGGCTTCGTCAGCACCCAGGAAGTGCCGCTCGACCGTGAAAATCCACGCCGGTGCACTGCCTGCGGCAAGGTCTTTCAGAATCATTTCGGTGTCAAGACTCACTATCAGAACGTCCACCTCAAACTGATGCACCGCTGCAGCGTGGATGGTTGTAATGCGGCCTTTCCCTCGAAACGATCTCGTGATCGCCACTCGGCGAATCTCAATCTGCACCGGAAATTGCTGTCAACCTCGTCGAGTCCGCCGCTTTCCACCAGCCTGCCACCGAGCTTATCGCCGCGTGTTGACGATCCGCAGATGAATCCGCTGCTACACAACGAGTTCCTGGCACGACTCTATGCGGATGCTAGTATCGGTGCATTGGGCGCGTATCCCTTAGCACCTGGACTGCCATCTGCGGTCGATCTAGCGGCCCGGATACCACCACCGCATCCGCTCCTGCTACCACCGCATCTTAGCGCCACGTTCCCGGGTCTATCCTCGTTCGCGTCTCACTTGGCTGGTCTAAACGGCCTCACTCATCAACATCTGAATCACTTGACGAGATTGACCCAGGAACAAGGCAATAGGCATGCGTCTGTTTCGGGTTCGCCTGTATCTTCGCCAGGCTCGGACGATCGCAAAGAGGAGGCTAGGTGCACTGTACCAGGTTGCGAGCGCATCTTCGGTTCCCGAGCCGTACGAGACGCACACTCGAGGGATCCCCAGGCCCACCGCGACCTGCCGATCTTGTCCACCAGCAGCGGCTCGTGACCGATCTCGTTCTACGGCCGTGGACACGATTATTATCCTTTACTGTGATGCCAAAATCCTAACTCGGCGACTCGATTCGGCCGATCGATCACCGATGATCTCGTTTCTAATTAGGATCGGCAGACCTAGACGCGGTCTTCCCCACGAACAGGGCACGTTTTGTTGTCCTAAAACGTTTCATTCGAACGTGCGTAAAAACGTGCAATATCGAGCAGAGTGCGTGCGGAATGATCGACCATCAACGTGACCGACATGAAGCGGTCTCGTTGATCAACGCCTGCCTATGGAGTAAACGAGCCAGTTCCAATGCGGTAATATCTGCCTGCCAGTTCTTCCCATTTCTCAGATTTATACGTCAGAACGCAACACGCGAGTTTGTTGGGCTAATCTAGTCAATTTGGAAATCTCGATTTCGTGCGTTGTCGGAAACGACGGTAAAAGACGCGCGCTGAATCGCTGCAAGTTTATTTCGCTCAATTAATACCATGCCGAACTAATACCATGCAAAATTCTAAGTAATGTAATGTCCAATTTTAAACTCGTAACGAAGATAACTTAAAGCAATCAAGAGAGATTTACAAGACGTATAACAAATCGAATTTTGTAAAAGATGTAATTTAAAGATTATTGCATAGAATTTTTATTTCAATTAGAACATGTACTTTTTTTAGCGATACGCGCACAGTACTTTTAAACCTGTTTTCGTTTTATGAATAAAATTATTAAATTTAAAAAAATTGTAGTTTAAAATTATAAAATTGTCTCTCTTAAATATTTTATTAATTATAATATTTAAGAAAAAAACGATTTATTATTTATTCATTTTTTATGCATGATACATTATTTAATTTATTAAATTTTATGATTCTACACAAAATCCTTATTTCTCCGTTTCTATATTGATTTTTTTTTTTAAAGAGTATAAAAATGCTTCCCCTATAATCATAAAATTTAATAATACAATAGAATATAATAATTATTTATTATTTTTTAAGATAAAATTAGTGTGAGATTCGAGAGTGTAAACTTTAAAAATATACTAAAATTATTTTTATTGAAAAAGCACAAATTGTGCACTAATATTAAATTTGTTTTGTTCATGAAGTTTACTGGATACGAGAACTTGAATTTTGGAAAAACGATTTTTGGACTTTTAATTCTCTTGATTTAACTGAAGAACTTACTGCAATAATGAGTTTAACCCATATTTTGTAAAAATGTGTTGATTTACTATTTCCCATCACTTTAATTTGGAGTTTATTTTCTCTGCTTTACAATATGTGGGTTTGTCCACTGTTGCAGTAAACTCTTTATTATAGAGCGAGCGCACGATACAGCGCGCGATATACATATATCTCTATAATATATCTCTTTCGTGCTGTTATATGAAGAGTCGCATTGTAAGCACTGGCTGACGTAAAAGTTCAGGATTTGACTGGTCGACTAAACTGCCTGACTTTTGAAGATCTCCACGTTCGCGTGGCGTGCGATCATTTCTTCCACGAGCGCGATGCCGAGAAATCCGACGACGGAGCATGGCGAACGATGAATTCGCGATATGCGGCCGTATATATTGTTTCGTCTATCCGATCGTTGGGGTTAACTTAACATAATCAGAGGTGAAAGAGAGGGTTGTCGGAGGGAGCGAGGACGAAGGACAAAAGCATTAGGAGAACGGACTGATGTCCCCGGTCCCGAAGGGCTAATTTCATCATCGTTGTGATAACGTAACGTTAGCGAATAACGCCACTATTTAACCAGTAACCAATTACTACCGCTGTATATAATAAACAGACATAGTACCTTTCGGTGTAAATGCGTAACTATATCGTGACTAAGTTCTACCAACGCGCGCCCGACGCGACGCGGTGTTTAACGGCGATTAGTTTTGTAAATGTGAGATGGGGAGAGCCGGTGCACTCTTTGCCGAGGGAAGGGAAGGAGAGCGACGTGTGTCACGTCGCGCGACGACGGCAGCTAGAAAGAAATGCAATCTTAGTTTAAGAAGAGGGATCACCCTCGAGAGCTCGAAGGCTGAAGGAATGAGGACGGTCGGGCGTTCGGTATAGATAGACGAGTGGATCGACCAGCAAATCAAAGCGACGGCGTGTCTCGCGCTAGGTAAATGAGAATAGATAGATTTTATTTATTGTTCCCTAGAAAACCCCATACACACAAAACGCATACGCACATACACATACGTGCTTACGTATTCGGAAACACACATACACGAACATGTACATCGATCATACACTACAGATTCTCAAGTAAGAGATTGGCCACCGTTCGTTATATTTAGGACGATGTTTAAGACAGAATGAGACATTCTTGCATTTTATTTTATCTTACCCATAACACTTTATTCGCAAGATGCTTGGAAATGTTCTGAGGGTGTAGGGATATTTCCTGAACGTCTTTAAGATGTTCTTAGAAAATCTTTGTTGTATGGGTAAGCACCATCCTGAATGCCATCGGATCATACGCACAATCAAAAATTGTCACAATGGCCAATCTCTTACTTGAATATCTTTACGATACACTCTACCCGAGCGGCCAGTAGCGGGCACTGCCGCGAGTAACTTCCTCCTCTAGGACTTGTAAAATCGCGTTGTCGTTTTTACGTGGCGAATCAATTGGTGCCGGAGGTTCGCTCCCGTTGTTACATGTGTTGACGAAGGAAATCGTGCGGAATCAATTCCGGAATCGGACGGGAGCGCGAACCTCTCCCATGAGACGATTTGGTTGTACATATATACTTTATTTTCGTATCTATACATATATAAATAAATATAAATATATATATATATATAATTTGGCGGTGCGCATCGATGTCGCGGCGCGCACGAGATGTTTTTCGGGAACGTACGTGTACGCGTAAAAGAGAACAGAGCGCGTTTTTCTATGAGCCTTCGATCCTACGTTTTACATTTCCGCCTCCCGAGAGAGCGAGCGAAGTTCCCTCTTCTCCCGCGACACACACGACGAAACCCTACTACTATTACGCATTAAGAGCGAGCGAAATTTACAATTGTAATTATGTATAAATCGAATGCTACGATGTATATTATAGATCGATTATAAAAAACACACTCATCATTATGAAAATAAATACCTATCAAAATTAATCCCCGTTGTGCATGAATTCTTTTCCTCTTTATTTTGCTATTATTTATAAAACAGCAATGTTATATTGTCAATAATGATGTAAGATGCAGTTTCGTAGACATACATTCATATTTGGTAGACGTTATTTATATATTTTTACAATATAATAAAAATTTAATATTTTAGTTGAAGAATAGAAAGGTTGTCCGCGAAAAGGTCTTGAGGAAAAAAAGTATAATGCTCGAGCGAGCGATCTAGATTTATAGCTCTGTTTCCGCCTTGTCGAAAGAGTGGGTAGCACTTCATCGAGCTTTCGGGACGTCGACAGGAACAGATACGTCCACATGTGTAAAAATGAAAAAGAAGAAACTCTACCACGCCCACGCGCTCTAACATGGGTCGACCTCGTTTTCGCGGAAAGAAGATCCTTCCTTTACTAGCGATGCCGGATCGTTTATCAGAGAATCTCGCGGGCGTGCACGTGCACGCCTACTAATCCGCGAGCCTCACGAAGAAGCGAATCTCCCCGATGGAAGGGTTGTTCTCGGTCTCGACGCCGAAGAGAATCACATTCGTATGATACAATGATGAAATCCGGGTCTTAATAGCTCTATGGTCAGGTCAACGTTTAAATTTGTTACAAATATTTACGATTATGTGATATACCTATTAATTATATATATTCATATCTATATGTTTATGAAACAAAACATTATTTTAATTTTAATCAACATTGTAGCAATATAACATTAATTTATTTCTACGATTAGTAGAATTTACATTAATTTTTATACAATATTTATGATTCGCTTCATAAAAAAAAATATGCAGAGGAGAAGAGTAGTGTTATAAATTATATTTATGTTGTAAACTAATAAAGTAAATTTGTTTTGAATATTTACTGAAGCATGAATTACCCGAAATTATGTGACGATAGAAATTGCTAGAAAAACTATAGAAATTGCATATTATTTTCTACCGAATATGAATAATTAATTATGTTTAATAATTATTGCAAACTCTTGACAAACAAGCGATTATATATTTGCAGATCGACTCGGAGGGTCTCTCATGTAGCAGGTCTGACAGCTCAGACCACTCGCTAATAACTTTACCATTGTCACGCTAAAATTCCCTTCGCAAAAGCGAAACGACAGACCGACACCGTAGCGGACCACGGTAATTAGAAGTGTCTCGTGTTCAGTCCCACCCAAACGAGACGTTTAATTATACATAAACGCCAAGCGGGCCCCTCATTCCTTGGAGCAAGAAGATGCACGAGAAGATCGCCACTCCGCTTGCCCCTACCCTTCCCCCTTCCGCTGGACCCTCAGCCCTTAATCGACCAGGTGGATTAGATTAGGACCCTTCGATTCTCGTGCTAACTTTGGGTCCCGACTGGAGACTAATAACTGGTGCACGCGAAATCGAATCCCTATTGAACTCTAAAGTAGTGCTCTGAAACCTGAATCATGATGCAGAAATCGAAGACATAAAAACGGCTGCATTTTGAGATTGTTTACGGTTTCTGTGAAGTTAGAATAAAAAAACCACACGATATATATTCATTGCAACTGTTTAATAATTAAATTACACTGTTTAATAATTAAATTACATTTTATATTATTAAATAATTTAATTATTCGTACAGCTCTGATGAGGATGATAAATCAGCATTGCAAATGTGCGGCTTGCAGCGACTGCGTTTCTAACTTTTTATTCTTCTGTTCTTAACTGTTAATCCAATCTTTTCGTGTGAATTCTCTGGGTTATTTCGAGCATCTGATTTTTTTATTTTTAACTCACACATTTCAGGATCATTTTTAAAAATTATTTGAAAAGCTTTTCTTTAAAGGTAAATTTTAAAGTAAACAGTTTTTTCGATGTCTCTGTATTATTTCTCTTTCTTCTGCTTCTTCTCTCGTCTCTCTACTTCTTTTTCCTATTCATAAACGTATATGTAGTACCGACATACGCGAGATAAATAGATTTAGCGTGGCTTCGACCTTACCGAGTACGCACTCGCCCAGTTGAAGCTTTATTCTACCACCTCTCTCGACGCTCTCGTGCGCACGACAGGTGCAGCGTGGGAGAACGAGGGTGGGAAGACGGAGGTAGGTCCACGCTCTCGCAG